CCAGTGACGCCGTCGGCGGCGGCCGCCATCGCGGCGGGGAGGGGGCGGTCAGGGCGCCCGATGACGGGGTGTACTGCTACGGGCTGTACCTCGAGGGGGCCCGCTGGGACGCGGCGGCGCATGCGCTGGCGGAGAGCGCGCCAAAGGTGTGGGCCGGGCGGCGCGAGGGACACGCTGCTGCTGCTGCTGCTGCTAGTAGGGCGGAAGGGCCGACCTGAGAGCGCCCGGCAGAGCCTTTCATTTTAAGCACCCCGATGTGTTGCAATTCTGTTTGGCGCGCGGGACGCCCGCACAGAAGCGCGCAAGGCACGGGCTGCGTGCACGGACACGCGGCGACACCCTTTGATCTGACTCGAAGCTGGGCCACCCGCGCCTCCCACCGCATTACATAATCACCGCAGGTCCTCTACAGCCCCATGCCCGTGATCTGGATGCTGCCCCGGGACGTGTCCTCCATAACCGACGGCGCGCGGCCCCGCTACGCCTGCCCCATGTACAAGACGCCCGACCGCCGCGGCGTGCTGTCCACCACCGGCCACTCCACCAATTTCGTGTGCGACGTCCGCCTGACCGCGGGGGAGCCGTCGCGGACGCCGCCGGCACACTGGACGCGGCGGGGCGCGGCGCTGCTGACGAGCCTCGCGGAGTGACGGTGGGCGGGGGCCCCTGCCGGCGCGCGCGCACGCGCGTTGCTGCCGTTCCGGGCCCTGTTTTGCTGGGTCTGAATGGTGGGATTGATAACATCCAGTGTGTTGCAAGGGGAGCAATCTGCTGCGTCATCCTGCCTTGTCAGTCAAGCTCAAAAGGAGGCCCGAGTAAACGTCAAACAAGAGGACGCTTGGAGGGACAAAGCATGGTGGGTGCCAGCCAGCCGCGACTGACCGGCGGGTAGGCTGCGGCGCGGCGGAGCGGTTGCTGGAGGGCACTGCGTGCGTCCCAGGTGCAGGAACACTAAATAAGGTGCCAGGCGGTTGGTAATGCGGGCGTGCTGGCTGCCCAAAAACCCAAGAGACGTCTAATGTGTTGGCTAGTAGAGGATAGAGGGGCGAGCCAGGTGACGCTTGTTTAAGTAGCACAGGGGACGGATGCGCGCGGGCGGCTTCCCTCCCAGCAGCTACTGCCCGGCAGCCTTGCGCGCCGCGATCGCCGACTGGCTGCGCTCCCGCAGCACCGCCACCACCATGGACGCGTACAGCGCCGCGCTGTGGGTTGCGGACGCCTCTGGGGGCAGCCAGGCCGCGTAGTCATCCCAGGGGGGCGGCAGCACCTCCAGCCTGCGGCGACCGCGAAAGGAGGAGGGTGGAACGCGGGGCGGAAAAGGGCGGAGCGAAGGGTGGGCTGTGGGTGGTGGACACGCCGAGAGCTTTGCAGCATCAGTGCGATGAAAGCAGGGGCCAGCCCCAGGCTGCAACGTGACATGATCGGTCGTGCGCCCGCAGATGACCCCACTGCCTTCCCTGCACTCCTCGCAAGGCCCACTGGCGCGCGTGCATCAAAATTCACGCGCCGCCGCCACAAAGACCGGACCACGCGCCTGCCCGCGTCCGGCGTGCCCTCCAGCGCTGACATCAGCGTCCCCGCCAGCTCCCGCAGCACGGGCTCGGCTACCGAGCAGCTTCCCAGCGGGTGGTATGCCACCTCCAGGGCGATCGCGAGCGGCGCCTGCCCGTGCACCTGCGGATGCGATGATGAACGCGGGAACGTCGCACCCATGCAACACTGAGGTTTGATTTCCTCTGCCTGCAGCTGCATTGTTGTGTCGCTGTGTCAGCAGGCCGCCGACGGGGGCGGGGGGCTGCAGCGGGCAGTTTGACAAGGGGGCATCAAGTGGGTTGACCGTCGGGCCCGCGGGAAGCCGCCGCGCACCTGCAGCTGCAGCAGCTTCACGCTCGCGTCGGAGCCGCGGCGGTCCCCGAGCTGCCACGTGCGGGACTGCACCGCGTTTGGGGGGCGGGGAGTGAGAGAGAGGCGGGGGGGTCGCTGGCCGGGCGCCGCTGCTGGGCGGGCGCAAGAGGACACTGGCTTCGACCGCTGAGAAGGGCTCTCCGCTGGCAGCCGGGAAACCCTGGAAACCACGGTGTCTTAGATGGAAAACGGCCTGTCAGGCGTGCGGCCTGACCATGGCCTCACCGCTAGCAGGAGGTTTGCCTTAGTCCTGTACTCGAGCCGCTTGTCCAGCAGGGCCGTGGCAATGGACGCGTCCGCCTCGACGACCTGTCGCGCCTTGCTGCGGGTGCATGGCGGCGAAAGGGGGGGCGGCGGCGAGGAGGGTGGGGG